AAATAAATAAATAAATAAATAAATAAATAAATAAATAAATAAATAAATAAATAAATAAATAAATAAATAAATAAATAAATAAATAAATAAATAAATAAATAAATAAATAAATAAATAAATAAATAAATAAATAAATAAATAAATAAATAAATAAATAAATAAATAAATAAATAAATAAATAAATAAATAAATAAATAAATAAATAAATAAATAAATAAATAAATAAATAAATAAATAAATAAATAAATAAATAAATAAATAAATAAATAAATAAATAAATAAATAAATAAATAAATAAATAAATAAATAAATAAATAAATAAATAAATAAATAAATAAATAAATAAATAAATAAATAAATAAATAAATAAATAAATAAATAAATAAATAAATAAATAAATAAATAAATAAATAAATAAATAAATAAATAAATAAATAAATAAATAAATAAATAAATAAATAAATAAATAAATAAATAAATAAATAAATAAATAAATAAATAAATAAATAAATAAATAAATAAATAAATAAATAAATAAATAAATAAATAAATAAATAAATAAATGAATGAATGAATAAATAAATAAATAAATAAATAAATAAATAAATAAATAAATAAATAAATAAATAAATAAATAAATAAATAAATAAATAAATAAATAAATAAATAAATAAATAAATAAATAAATAAATAAATAAATAAATAAATAAATAAATAAATAAATAAATAAATAAATAAATAAATAAATAAATAAATAAATAAATAAATAAATAAATAAATAAATAAATAAATAAATAAATAAATAAATAAATAAATAAATAAATAAATAAATAAATAAATAAATAAATAAATAAATAAATAAATAAATAAATAAATAAATAAATAAATAAATAAATAAATAAATAAATAAGGAAATGTACCTCATTTCCTAATTAACAATAATAGTGGAGACAGTTTTTCTTTTATAATTTATTCAGTCATCTAAGAGGTATCAAGTAAATTAATTAAACATTATATTGCTCTTCTTTTGTGATCTTCTCTAAAGTTTTAATTAATATGTATATAGGTTTTATTTCCCAGCATCACTTTCAATGTAACATTAGATAAGACATGAACTTTGCTAATTTCCTAAAATTTTCCACTTTTACAATGTCTGCCTACAGACTTTGGCTCAAGTTTTAGTTCTTATCAAAAGCGTGTACAGGAAGTAAAGTGGGTATTTATTCCCTACTACTTAAACTCATATTATGTATGCAAGTACATTGGGGTGTTAGTTGGTGTTGGTTTTTGTTGAACTTTTTGAAGTTTTTGAGTATAAAAACAAAAGTTGGTTAGTTTATTTATTAAGACTTGGAATACGTTTTTAAAAATATTATTTAAAAAGGACCTTAGGTACTTTACAAATCTATTATTTAAAGAATTATATATATATTCTCAATAGTAAACCACTATACAGGGTGTTCCATAATATATGAAAAAACGTTTCTATTAACTTACCCTCTAAAATGCACCATTTTCGAGATACAGGGTGTTGAAATTGAAAAAAAAATTTTGCGCCACTGGAAAAAGTACAGTTTTGAGACGCCCATTTGAACCGCCAATGTTTTCTACACAAAAAAGGCACTCTTGGTCATACGCTCTGAAGTCGACCGTTTTCGAAAAAAAATCAAATTTTAATGTTGAAATACATGGTCATACATACTTGATGAAACAAAATTTGATTTTTCTTATATTATTATCTATAATTTTTGTGTTATACAAAATTTTCCTAAAATGGTCCGTATTCAAGAAATTTGACAAAATGTAAAAAATATTTTTTTATAAAAATTGTTTAAATAAAAGTTGTTTGTAATATAATTCTCTATAATTTGTATTCTATACATAATTTCTCTAAAATGGACCGTATTCGAGAAATTTGAAAAAATTGTAAATTTTGAAAGTTGAAAAAACTCAAAAACGGATAAAAAACATTAAATTTTAAATTTAAGTTTTATTTCGGCCTGACGTGAAATTATTAGATTTTGGACAAAGTCGGAACATCTGGGGGGGTACTTTATGGGAGGCTGTTTTTATATTTTATGGAATATGTCTGTTATTTATGTTTGGAGAAGAAAATTGTTCAAATAAAAGTTACTTCTAATATTATTATCTATAATTTTTGTTTTATGTTAAAATGTCCTGAAATGGTCCGTATTCGATAAAATGTGCAAAATTCTGATTTTTATGAAAATTGTTGAACTAAAAGTTGTTTGCGATATCGGTCTCTATAATTTTTGTTTATGCATGATTTTTCTAAAATGGACCGTAATGAAAAAATTGTAGGAAATTTAAATTTTTCAGTATTTTCGTTTTCAATGAATATCTATAGAAAAATATTTCGAGGTTGTACAAAATAACCGGAAAAAGCTTAGGTATAACAACTAGATAGGAAAGTCATGTGTTGGACACATCAGATTTTTTATATTTACAATTCCTTTGGATTTTACTAATTTATATATGGTGTCACAAATGCAGGTAGTTATAATGTTTGTAATAGTGTTTGAAATAACAATAATACTCAAATTCGTAATATAGATCCATTGACTCATTACAATATATAATCTTTTTAATTTCAAAAGTCAAAATGGCTTTTTTATTATGCACACATCTGTTGCAGTCGCCTATAAAGTTTAATAGAATTTAAAAATATTAGAAATCCGTTTTTTTTTAAAGCCGTTAAATATTTTATAAAATGTCTTCTATTATAATTAAACTGGCCTTTTTTAAACAGTTTCTTGGGAAATAAAATTTAAATTCAGATATCCAAAGAAGTTCCTTCAAATTACGTTTATGTTTACTTCGTTTTACTTGAATTCGATTTTTGTAAAGAGTTAGTAGACTGTAAATACAGACGAAATGTTCTCTTTCTGTATGTTGTTACGATTATCGGTTTTTAAATTATAGAATACACAATAGAGCTTTAATATAAAGCAAAAAGAAATGTTTCTCGCAGACTTTGAACGTATTCATGTTCTTTATTAATTCCGTATGACTTATGACATAATAATGTATAGAAAACTAATTAAACTACACAGTCTTTACAAAATTAGAAGTAAATCATACACGAATTAGATTAAGTAGATATGTACAATCCACTCAAGTTGTACAGTATATTTTTTCTACAATCAACTAACTAAAATTATTATGAGGTATTAAGACTAATTTTAAAATAATTTATGACTTCTGCTAATTTATAAAATAAAATAAACAAAAAAAGATTTTGTATTAGTCCCTAGCCAAACTTCGAAGGGCGATGGTCAAATATACTGCCTTTTCTTTTAGACCATTCGTTCGATCTGGCAGCTGTTTCGAATTTATTCAGGTAATTGGTCCAAGACATCTTCCCATCGAAAGTTTGGGCTTTAAGAAGAGCAGAATTTTCAGTTCGTTCCAATTACAACTTTAACTTTACCTCATGGCAGTTTATTTCACCGTCTTTGGCTTCTTCTGTATGTTCCAGTTCTTCTATCTTTTATTTTCTTCTTCTATTTTTTCCTCAAAGGAAGACATTATTTTCTCATCACCGGAAGTCATCTTATTTTCCATATCAGCATAAATTTAATTTTTTTGTGAAGATATTGCAGAAGAAATTTCATCTTCATCTTTCAAAGAAAACATTTCAGAAGACATCTTTTCTTTTAAAGAAAAAATATAGTTTTTTTATAAAACAAACATCTGAAGAAACTTTATTTTCTAAGGAAGAAACTTTATTATCTATAAGGAAAAAATGTCAGAAGAAACTTTAGTTGCTCAAGAAGAAAAGTTAGAGTAAATATCAGTTTTCATAGAGGTCAAATCAGAAGACATTTCGGTATTTAAGGAAGAGATCTTACTTTCCATAGAAGAAATTTTAGAAGACGCATAATCAGAGAATAGATAGTAAAGAGTAGATATTAATTGAGATATCGGATAGTGGAATAATAAATCTTTACCTGACAATTATGGCACAAATACACGTGATATTTAAAGATAAAAAATATAGTTGGGACACCTACTGTAGATAATTTAAAATAAGAATTTAACACAATGCTTAGCTTTGTCAAAAACCACCATCGAAAGAAAGCTTTAAAATCCAGCCCTGTGTGGCATTATTTTCTGGTTCTCAAATACAGCTGAACATCTAAACGTGGAATAGGAGAAGTCTCAGAGAATTAGTGATTTTAAATTAAGAAAATAGTTATGTTGAGAATGGGGTGTTAATACACTGCGACCTAAAAGATCTATTGTGCCCCCTTCTGTCGCCGAAAATAGTTATAAATTAATTAATAATACTTAAAACTTATAAATAATGAATAATTATTTGCTTAAAACTTAACTACGACCGACTCCCTACACATTTACGTAAAATTAGAATGTTGAATTTTCCCTTTTGACCACACTGCAATGTAATTGTATAAATAAACTTTCCCTCCCACTGCCACTCTTCAATTTTTAGTTTAATTTTGAAGCCATTATTAAATTTACTCAAAATACTAAAATATATATTTTTATTATGTTATTTTGAGTATAATTTAAGTAGATTTTAGGCACATTCTGAAAACTGGCAACGCTGTCAATAAAGAGCAGAACTGCGTTTAATGGAGGTCCTACACGCTCCAATATGGCCTGCAGGCCAAAGCACACAGTTCTGATCTAAAGGCAAGTTGTAATCAGCTCATTTCACTCTTTATCTTCACATTAGACAAAAGATGACAAAAAAGGAGAGGCCAGATGTGAGTCAGATCGAGCACGTTGAGTTATGGAAAGATACTATGGAGTGTAGAGTTCAAACCTAGTAAAAATCGTAGCGTGTAGGGCCTCCTTAAGTATCGCATTTCAAAAAAGTTTTATTACCGATGTTGTCACTTTTCAAAATTTCTCGAAAATCTACGTAAAATATGTATCTACTCAAATAGTGTTTTTTGTTGGCAACATGATCAATCAATTCTTCAAAATGTACAATCCATTTTTTGTTGTTTCAGGACACACTAGGAAAATTAGCATCCCAAATTGCGTAGAATTTCATATGACAACCAACGCCTGTCGCGGTTACTGCGAAAGTTGGGCGGTCCCCTCTCTGCCGAAAGTCACCCCTAGCCAGCCAATCACGTCGATCGGACAGTGTTGCAACATCATGGAAACCGAAAACGTTTCGGCAAGAGTTTTATGTGTCGATGGAATAAGGACGCTAACCTTTAAATCGGCCGTCACCTGTAATTGTTACCACTGTAAGAAAGATTGAAGATGCGGACGATGTTTTGAGTTGTTTGGAAGTTGTGTATATTTCCGGTTAACTGAATATAGATTTTAAGTATATTGTAAATGTTATGTACATTACTGATTATTGTATATATTGTACTGACTGACTGATTGTATAAATTATGTTCATTAAATTTCGTTTCCTATAAAATGTTTTTTCATCTTTATTTGCAACTATAGGCACCTCCCACCCCTTGACCTAGTCATAAAGGGGGAGGACAGAATGAGTGCCTACAGACTGGAAATCTCCAACAACTGGAACCCACTGGGACATATAAAACATACCAGAATAACACATGAAGTAAATGATTCTATATTAAATATGGGATCAGATCACATGACACCCCTCCTAACCTTTAACAGACTCTTCCAGGTCAACTGTAACTGGAACGAGGTAAATAAGGAGATAGATAAATACTAACAAGGGAACAGGCTCTGGCGTACATGGAGTTAAACCCAAATGCGACATCATCGTCTCACTGGGAAAATATGCCACTGTATTTCAGGCTGAAATACATGCAATCGAATTGTGTGTACGAGAGAATTTAAGAAGGAAGTACAAAAAACAAACCATCCTAATTCTCTCAGATAGCCAAGCAGCCTTAAAGGCTCTTGATTCAAACAGAATCAAGTCAAAGCTTGTCTGGAACTGCCTTGGAATACTAAATGATCTGGCAACCCACAACAAGGTAAAACTAGCGTGGGTACCAGGGCACAAAGGTATCGAAGGAAATGAAAAGGCTGATGAATTCGCCCAAGAGGGATCAGATCTACCATTTTTAGGACCCGAATCTGTATTTGGGATAAGCACAACCTCTGATCGACAGGCAGTGAACAGCTGGATAACCACAAAACACCAAATTCACTGGTAACAGATAAGAGGACACAGAATCAGTAAGCTCATGCTAAGGGGACCAAACCCACGCATGGCTAATGAGGCACTACAACTCGCAAGGCCTCAGATATCCACCATTGTGAGATTACTAACGGGGGCACTGCTTGCTGAAACACCTTCATGTGATGGGATTACACAATGATCTCACTCCGAGTAGACTATGCATGGAAGAGGAAGAAACCTCATACCATGTGATCTTCGAATGCGAAGCTCTTACTAGGCGACGTTTTATCCCTTTCGGCCTAGAACCAGAAAGAACGCCCCAGGAACACTTGGTAGGGAATCTATTAAAACTAACCAAAAACACAGGATTATTCCAAAGATAGTACCTGAATACGGGTAAAACAGGGGAATACAATAGACCCAAGAGGCCGCAGTGTTCTGGGCCAAACTTAACCCTACCTACTTACAACCGATAAAGATAAAGAACTATAGGCAATACAATGAATTTTTTGTAGCAGATAATCTACATAGGTATGTACCAGTACTAATAGCAGCACTATTCTCCACTAGGCTAGATTTTCTCCAGATCTGGGGAAAAAAATAAACCGGCAACACCGTAATGCCATTGACTAAGCGTATGACAGAGCTAGACGGTTTATTCAAATAGTATTTATGTAGTATTCATGTAGTATTTATGTAGTATTCATGTGGTATTCATGAAATTTTCATGTAGTATGCATGTGATATTCATGTAGTATTAATGTAGTATTCATTTAGTATTCATGTAGTATTTATGTAGTTTTCATGCAGTATGCATGTAGTATTCATGTAACATTCATGTAGTATTAATATTAGTATTTATATATCATTTATGTAGAATTTATGTAGGATTCATGTAGGGTTCATATATTATTTATGTAGTATTTATGTAGTATTCATGTAGTATTTATGTAGTATTCATATAGTATTCATGCATTATTCATGTAGTATTCATATACTATTCATGTAGTAATTATGTAGTATTCAACTATTCATGTAGCAATTATGTAGTATTCAACTATTCATGTGGTAATTATGTAGTATTCATACAGTACTGATGTGGTATTTAGATAATTTTCAGATAGTACTCAGTTATTGTAATAAAAACTCTAAGTACAACTTGTAATGTAGTGATTAATTGTTCTTTATGAAGCGACCATCTTGGATTTTATATTAATGGAAAAAAAGGGCTAGTGCTGGGAAATTTTAAAAGTTTGACGCTTTGCCATACGCCTAGTCAATGGTATTACGGTGTTGCCGGTTTAATTTATTTCCTCAGTTCTGGGGTAAATTCTGTCTCAGTGGAGTATGGTGCTGTTATTACTACTGGTACCATTTAAGGTGAGGATCTAGTGATTGGAGGGCCATTGGCACTGTTAGGTGAGCTATTTGCACAAAACAAAATTACAATTTTTTTGTTCATTATTACCTTAAAGAACATGGAAATACTTTGCTGCAGTCCCCATGTTGGTGAAGCGTTCTACCGACAGCAATAATGGCACATCTCAAAAATAGTAATATTGAAGAAAATTGGATTTAAAATTTTTATTGATTTTACTTTTATTAAAATTGATAGAGCATAATTAGGAATTTGAAGTTTGACGCCGATTATTATGATTTAGTTAGAGAATGATTTGGTTCAATATTTTGTTTTTTAAGTTGAAGATGTGCCACTGTTGACGAGATCCTAAATTACAATAAATTTTGTGACACTTTCATGTTTTAAGAACAATACATTTTCTAATAATTCATGAACTTTATTTATAAAAATATACAAAATTAGGAAAATAAACACGTTTCTTTTATTTTTGGTACGTACAATACATAGAATATTGTAGTAAGAGAATTTCAAATTGTAATAATAATTTTTATCGAAAAATAAATAAAAAGTTCAAGTTAATATAGGCACAATTTAAAAAAAATTAAGTCTATACTGGCATATTTAAAAATGTGTCACTATTTTTCAAAACTTGAATATATAATAACACACTCAAAATGTAAAATCTATACTGGCATTTTTAAAAATGTGTCACTATTTTTCGGTACTTGAATACTAAATCAATTCGTACAACACAAAAAGTCACTATTGCCCAAACAACAAAACCTTTCCTAATAATAAATGGCACACTGATTATGTGCGACTATTGGTGCAGTTTAAATACAAATATAATTATGATGCTTTAGTGTCAGATTCATCATCTCTAGGAATTGTGTCAGTCTTGCTCGCTGTAAATGTCTTAAATTTAACGTTTGATGCTATATTTATCTATGATTTTAGAATTTTTTTAGTTGTGTCACTATTGCTCTCGGTTGGCAAGATGTAAATAGAACGTTGTTTTATCATAAAAGTTATAATTTTAATAACCCATTTTCTCAAATTATCAAGTGTATTTATAAAATCAAACGTTTATAAAATTATTTTCAATAACCACATAAAACGATATTTTTAGCATAAAAACAAGACCAAATGAAATGTTATTTGTCACAAATATGTGTCTTGGAAAGCAACGAGGATACCAACCCTTCCCACCGGCATTTATTTTGTTTGAAATGCCTAATAATTGTTTTCGTCATTTAATTATAAATTATTTTCTGACAATGTACAGTCAAAAATTAAGGAATAAATCTCTGGAATATTATTCGTAAATAAACGAGTAGAAAAGAAGAAAGTTGAATAGTTAATTTGAATTTTCATAAAAGTATCCCTTGAATGCTGCGACAAATAAAGGCGTGAATTGAATTTAAACGTATAACGCCATACAGCGTTTTAATCCCGCTTTTTGGGGTGAAAGTGACGACATAATTTAATTGATTAGATTGTTAGGCGATCCTTTTATAAAATATTAAACTTCTTTAACACGGAACTAGTAAAATTTGTAAATGTAGTCGATTTAAGATTTGGTATTCAATTAAACAGTTAATAATTTTCGTTTGATTAAAATTTAATTTACACAGTCATTGATTGTACCCAGTTGACCAAAGTACATTACGTTGTCGGATAATTATTCGAGGTTAATGGTTAGTTTAATATTGAATAACCAGGTATCTCGGCTGTCTAACTCAGGTTAATATTTATAGTTCATAATATCCATATTACTCAGAACTACTTCATTTCTTGTTTTCAAACATAACATTTTACATAAAAATAATCAAGTAAAATGTGGCCAGAATATTTTGACAGATATGTATAAGATGAGTAACAACGTAGGTTGTACTTATTACGTTTCTTAATCAAAGTATTGCTATTAATATAAGTTTCCAAAAGAATAATCAATTTTCACGTTAGAACTATACAGGGAATTTCAATGAAAATTTCTGGTATCAACAGAAAACCAGTTAAAATCGTTCATTTTTAGTCACGTGTATTAGCATATCTAATTATCTCTGACTTACCATAATGTATGAACTATAATGTCTATTTTTTATTCTGCTAAATGATAAAACTCAAAATTAATTAATTTATTATTTATTTATCAAAAAATAAATGAGAAATAAATGAGAAATAAATGAGAAATAAATGAGAAATAAATGAGAAATAAATGAGAAATAAATGAGAAATAAATGAGAAATAAATGAGAAATAAATGAGAAATAAATGAGAAATAAATGAGAAATAAATGAGAAATAAATGAGAAATAAATGAGAAATAAATGAGAAATAAATGAGAAATAAATGAGAAATAAATGAGAAATAAATGAGAAATAAATGAGAAATAAATGAGAAATAGATGAGAAATAAATGAGAAATAAATGAGAAATAAATGAGAAATAAATAAGAAATAAATGAGAAATAAATGAGAAATAAATGAGAAATAAATGAGAAATAAATGAGAAATAAATGAGAAATAAATGAGAAATAAATGAGAAATAAATGAGAAATAAATGAGAAATAAATGAGAAATAAATGAGAAATAAATGAGAAATAAATGAGAAATAAATGAGAAATAAATGAGAAATAAATGAGAAATAAATGAGAAATAAATGAGAAATAAATGAGAAATGAAATAAATGAGAAATAAATGAAAATGAAAATATATTTATTGAAATAGGTAACCCTATATACAAACAATTTTTTTTAGTTACAAAACAACAACTGAAATTCAAAATACAAAATTCAAAATACAAAAATGAGAATTAAATTAGAAATAAATAAGAAATAAATGAGAAATAAATGAGAAATAAATGAGAAATAAATGAGAAATAAATGAGAAATAAATGAGAAATAAATGAG